CAATATTTTTGTAGGACTCCTTTTTCTCGATTTTGTGAGAAAATTATCTTAAGATTCAACTGGAAATAAATGAATGTTCATTAGTTTTATCTAATTGATCTAGATTAATTGATCTGATTAAATAGACAAAGTTTGCCAATCTTTACCGTGAAAACGCCCCAATTCCGAGAATTTCCCAAAATAAAAAAGTTCTAGGTTACGATGAGATGAAGCTATTTACAAGTTTTAGTAAAATATTATAATTTGATAGAAAAGGGAACCACGGACTATTAAGGTGGAATAATGCTGTTAAATTACAAGTCCTTTTAATTCCTTTTTCCTTTAGAAGTCTTGTGATTGAAGACGGAGATACAGATGGAAAAAGACAATAACATATAATGGCAAAGAATGTCTGTGTCCACGAGAGATTCGGGACTAAAAAAGACTTTTCGGTGTTGCATTTTTTAGAGGACTGCTAATTTCGTGAAAAATTTTGGTTTTAGTATTTACAAAACAAAAATTGTTGCACCGTTTAGATTTTTTTGACCTGAATTGCATAAAATGAGTTGAAGAGATTAGCATTTTAAATAATTAAAACTGACGTGATTCGTAGAAACATTTCCAACTGTAGGAAATACTGTTATATTTCTGGCTATATACACTTTTCTAAGCCTAGTACAAAATTCCAGAATTTTATATTTATATTTATATTTAACATTTATATTTATTTATTGTATATATTTCTATTTCTACAGTTTTCAGAAGAGAACGATTCTATTTAAAATACGTATATACTAATTATATATTTAATATGAATAAGAGCGCTTGATACCACAGACCCACCTGCTGTGATATACTAGATTGATTTATGGTTGATATCAGATATCCTTTCCAAGAGTATAGCGTTACCAATTTACTATTTGATCTAAATGGAGGCGTGAAGGGTAAAAACGGCTAAAAGTCAAACTCTAAAAAAAATCTATTTGTGGTTAAAACATTATAAACATATTTGAAAATAATGCATTGAGAATGCCAATAGGCCATGACTAATCAATATTTTATAGATTGCCAACACAGATTTACATGAGTAAGTATTGAGTGAACATTGTCCATTAGCTGGTTATGGAATATGATGGAGCCTTCAGCTAGTTATGAATCTTATTGACCGCATCTCATGTCTCGACACTAATCCAGCCATAATGTTTTTCTTCTTGGCTGGTCTCTCCTATTTCTATTCATGTTCATGTTTATATGTTCTACAGGTACAACGAAACCTATTCTAAACAGAGAGGAAAGATCTAAATTCCTTCCCTGTGTCCACCACGAAATAAAGTTCAATATGCCTAGACTTGAGGATGTTAAACCGGGCAACGTTTTAACACACACGGACATCGCGACTTCAGAACTTTTCTAAAAGGCTCCCTTAAAATATTTTCATCTAAATTTCCTTTCCTCTTCTTTTTCATCATTTTTGTAGGAAGCGCCTACCTCTTAATTTTCGGAATTGCAAAGAGTCTTTTGATCTTTAGAAATAGGCCAAATTATCTTTATAACCCCTAGCTATTTTGGCCCAAACTGGATTGTTGATAAAACGTTTTATAACCCAACTGTTTCTGGCCTAAGGTAGTGGCTGCTTTATCCGAAGTTTATCTGTAATGTTCTGAGTTGGCAATATTTAAATTTTTCTTAGATTGACTGACACTATTTATTTTTATTTCATGGAGTATATTACAATGTCATAAAATATATTTTAATTCCCACATCAGCATCCTCGATACATAGCAATACATCGATGTAAAGATGAAGTGAACTCCAAATTCAGTGTTTATTTATTAAGGATAGACTCTCAATTACTCTAATAATTGTAGATTATTAATTTTTCTGATAAAAATAAATTTTTAAGAAAACATTTTCGGCGCCAATGATAGCAAAATAATAACAATTCTATTTATAAAAAGTGAAAAGAAATATCCGAACCCTAAATACATAAATGTATCTGTAATCAGTTAATGGATTGCAGAGCGCACTTCCTCCTTCCCGAGCGGCGGCGAGATAAAAGAAGAGACTCCAGTTGCGGCTGTAACACTAGCTGGTAGAAAAAGCGTCGGCACTTTTGATCTAGATGGCCTTATCTATACCAGAGGCACACGGGTCTACCATACCTTCTCTGCATAAGGAAACAGTATACTATAACAAATTGAAACCTGAGGTTCACTGGTTAATTATATTTCAAATTTATATGTACATGAAAATATTGTTCCTGTGAGTGTGTATTATATATACAGTGATGCGCTGGGTACCCTATGGTACAGATTACCTTGTAATAACCAGCTTAAATGTTTCCTGGGTTTTGTTTACCTTCGTTAACAAAACCCAAGACATGAGACAAAAATAAGGCCGCATAGGGAATAGACTTCGTAATTAGATGAGAGTATTACTAATAATAGAATAGAATATTACATCTACTTGTCAATTTTTTTTAATTAATTCATTTTCTTGTTCATTATTCTAAATATTCCTTTTTTGTATGATCTCTCTTTTATTTTATTCTAAATTTACATTTACACTCTACACCAATTTATGATCATCCTTTTTTCACTTTTTATTAATTTTACTTATTAACCATATCTCAATATTATCTAATATTCAAATGTAATTTTTTTACATATGTACAACCAAATATAATTATAATTATTATTTTTCCCCCTCTCTATACTTTTAAGTTAGCTCTGCAATGTATGTATGTAAATGAAGTTATTTCTATATTTATATTTTACTTTTGCCAATTTTGGGTTTATTCACATTGTACTCTAATTTAGAATCATAAAATACCTCTCACATCTCTCAACTCTATTTTATATGTATATTTATATATTTATAATTTAATATTTCATAGACATAGTATTTTTCCATTGTATCCATCCATATCTTCAAAAAATTTTAGATACTGTAATTTCCTGGGTTTTTCCCAGTTTACTTAGTTAACACATGTTAGCTTCTCCTATACCTGCTACCCTTACCGCTGCCTTTCCAGTTCTAAGTGTAACTCCTAGATGAACACACCTGTAAGTCTCTAATTTTATTTTTCTTCGGTAGATTTTGTAGAAGTATATTCACATTTTCATTTATTATATATTACACTACAATAATTGTCTATTTACTTCAGTTTAGGATCTTGTTACTCAGCTTACCTTGTCCATATTGTATTGTACTTACTGTTTATAATTTTAATAAGCTTATTCACATTGTTTATAAATTATGTCTAAATATTATGCAATTGCCACAATTCTCTATCTTTTTGTATCTTGTCCGTTCTAGTCCTGAAGAAGACCTGCAAAGTCGGGTCGAAACGTTGGCTTTCAATAAAATAGTTTTACCACTATTTAGCCTATTTATGACCGCCACCCCGGACCATCTCCTTCCTTTATAATGCAACGGTCAACTATTAAATATTCAATAAAAAATTAAAACCTTCAAAACTTCAATTTTCTTTATTGATTCGTCTCAACGACGCGTCGTTCGGCTGGAAGTCAGGAGTATCTGTACTGTAATTTATAGCTTAGTAATAACAACACCGAATTTCTGTGATATGTGTTAATTATATAGAGATATAAAACAAATGGTTTTTATAAATCCCCATTTTGTCCCTTTTGTAATATTCAAATTCAAAACTAACCAAGTATTACTTTTGGTCGTTTTTGAAAATTCATATTTAAAAAGGGTGAGGTTTTCAAGACTTCAAACTTCTTAAGCAAGTTACAAGATTATTAAGTACTACAGTGATAGTAATATACAAGATAAAAAATGTTTTTTTTTCCCAATTACACTATTAAAACACTGAAAGTATCCTTATATATTAATTTATGCTGACTATTTGTCAATATTTTTAACCACTTTCCTCACTACCACGGACGGATATACGGGGGGAGGGGGACTTTCGGGCTGAAGCCACCTCCCCTCTCACCTCCAAAATGGTAAAATATAACCATGTTTTATGGAATTTTTTTTTAAAATACAAGTATTATTGTTCGTGTAATTACATTTAAAAGGACTTAAGGAATCACTTAAACACCATTTCATATAGATAGTTAGTTTCTTTCTGTTTTGCCAAACAAATTATCGTTATTTTTATGAAAAAAAAAGCTTTCGGACTGAAGCCCCTCCCCCAAAATTAAATCCTGGATCCGCTAGTGCTCACTATTTATGGGATGTATTGTGAAGACAAAAAATGTAGAACAAATCGACAACATAATTTTAGTTATTGTTTTGTTTTGATAACTGAATAAATTGTTTTGATAATGAATAAAAGTTATAGAAGGAAGAATATGCTGAGACTAAGATCTATTCTCACTAAGCAGCAACATTTGTTGTTTTGTAACTAAATAGAACCAGTCGAGTCTTAGTGACCAAATTCGTTCGTGGCGATATTCATGTCGTAAAGAGGTATAAATAATATCATTTTCATAATTTTAAACACAAACCCATCTATAATACCTAACTTCAAATATCCTCGAACACGACGTTTAAACGCCGCTTTCCTCCCTTCTTAGATAATATATTAAAATACATAATACGTAGAAAAAATAATCATCATTGTTTTATTGGGCATTAGTTTGAAATCAACCCCAAATTACTAAGTTAGAGACATTTTCCGAAACATGTTCTCATTCGAAAAGTAAATTCAAAATTGCAGGGAAAAAAATTATTTACAAACATACGAACTCACCATTAAATAAGGAACAACAGCTAAAAATATATATATAAATTAAAAATGTGGAGCAGCATGGTCTAGGTGATTTTAAATGGATTGGCCCTTTATGGATATCTATTTTTTGTCTGCGCACCCTTGAAAATTCGAAAAACTTGAAATCGATTCAGCAACTTTAAAAGTCAGAATTTATAACTATAAAGAGAGTTTTCAGCACTATCGTTCTTTGATTTAAAATGCTCAATAACCTCTAGATTACTGCCGAAACAAAAAATAAAACACTAACAAATATTTGGATGGATTCGGTACTCACTGGTTCGAAGTGGCGAATACCTTTTCCTCGGCAATTCACTGTCTGAGCTGGTTTCTGAACCAGAAGTTGCACCCCTATCGTAGCCGTACCACCCCAATGCATCCTTCATCGAATTCTCTGAATAATCCTGGAAAAATTAAAAGGTTTACATCATACATTATACTGGAGGTTAAACAAAAAAAAAATAAAATAATAATAAAATGTTTAAACAGCTGCAGACTATCCCACATCTTACAAGGAGAAGTTACAGAGGAAAGGATCACCGATTTCAATGAAACATTTGTTGGTGATACTAGGTGGGAAAATATTATATCCATGTTTCCGAGGTTTATGAAAATATTAGACTCTGCTTTATTAGAGAAAAATACATATAATTCAACATTTTTTAAATATTTTTGTGTTTAATAGTTGCTCTGAGTGGATTTTGTGGTAATAATATATGCAACGATATTTATTTTTTTTCCTTTTTTTTTTGTGTAAAATAGGATCAACATATTGCAGATTGAATTAAATGAATTCAAATATATAATAAATTACAAAAACAAAACGTTGTTTTTTTATCAAGAAAAAGCAATTCAGATTCGTTTATAGTACCCTTTAAAACTAAAAAAATACGGATTAGCTTTGAATTAAAAATGTATAAATTGTAAGACTTGATTTTATTAGAGAATTTTTTTTTCATGCCGTTTGCTAAAGCAGTCATAACTGTTCAGGATTTGCTCCTAGTCCAACGTCGCTACAACCGTTGAAAAGCTAAATTTTCCCTCTTCCAAATCATATCAATAAATTTCAGATTTTTCGCCTTTATAATGATCATTCATTTATACAAAAAAAAAAAACCCAAAAATATTTTTATTTTTGATCTTTACTTCTAATTTGCTTATGGGTGCCAGGGTTGTGTTATTTCATGTAGCTTAAAGAGGCTCATACACCTCTTAATGTTTCGGAGGATATGTAGAGTCGTGTTGAAGTAATCAAAATTTTTCTGATTTTCGAAAAAAATCCTTTTCATCATGTTTAATGTTTCTTTTTTTTGTTTTTAGTTTAGAAAACAAATTTAATTTTGTTTCTCCTTAAAAAAATATTTGAACCGACTTTATTTCTTCGTTCGGAACAAATTATTTCAATATTGCACTCATACACAGCTATATGCCAAAAATAATTTTTGTCTATATCAAACGGATATCATTAGTTACATAAAACCAGGTAATTTGTATCATTTTGACCCGAGAATACTAGCCGCATAGGCCAACATTTCGGCACACAATAAAATAAGACTTTATTTTTGTATATTATCAAGGTCTCCCACTACTCGTCTTGCGGTTAACAATATCTTCACCATTTTTGAAAATATATTCGATTTTCCTCACGTTATTATAGTGGCACTTAAAAAAATAAGTTATTCAGAAGACATTGCAAAGTATAACAAAAATGTTTATCATTCTATAGCTCTATATCAAAAATATGTGACGTATCACACTACATTCCTTTCTACTTCTGAAAAAAAAAATATAAAATTGCTTTCTTATGTTTTTTTTTATTGAAAAAATATATGTAATCTTATTATTCTTAAAATAATAATCTCGACTGCTTCCCTAGATATTACATTTTCATTAGAACACATGAAACATATCTCATGCCAGTTCAAAACACGATATCTCTACAATAACTAGTCCAATTTTAAATGATTTTTCTATGTGATATAATTATCTTTCAAAACTGCACCTAAAGTGTGTACTTTTTGAGGAAATCGCACATAAAATTGGACTTTTTTCAAACTTCTTTTCGGGAAATATAGGGATTCAAGAAGAAGACTTTAGGAAAGTGTTTATTAAGTACGTTACACCTACACCAGCATCATAGTCTATAGTGAAACTGATTTTTCGGCTGGCATTTTCAAATGAAAGGACGGATGTTAATGTCGAGCTGGAGTGTACTTCCTTACAAAGTGCCGAACCCAAGATCCTTCATGAGTTGTAGTGGTAACGATTTTATTTTTTTTTTTGGGGGAGAAGGGGGAGAAATCAGGAATGCGAAATATCTTAGGAATTCGGCAACAATAGCACCCTCAAGCCGAGTCCTCTAAATAAATTATAGATTTTATTCACTGGGGAGTATCTTTGGCTGGGTATGAATAATGCATAGGCTATCGGGTTACCGGGGAGGTGTAGAGTCAGCCCCCACTAAATCACTGGTCATACGAGAAGGCTTCACAAACAGACATAGAAAATCCTTTAAGGACTCTTGCATCCAGTTCTTTCTTTTATTCATTTTGTTATTTCTCCAGTTATTCCTTCATTTATTTTTTTGCCGTTCGTTTCAACTCTTTTTCATGACCGTAGAAGGAAGGAGGTAGGCAGGCAGCGAAACTCGAGAAGGCTAGGGTAGATTTCCGGTGATGGGCCGGTCAAGCCGCCACTCCGAAGAATGCCCCGGGGTTTTACAAATAAGGCCTCGCTGGCCAAAACGACCCGATGCTATCACCCCTTCTCATTTTACCGACGCTTTGGAAGGATTGGGGCTGAGTAAAAGGAATCGATAAGTAACACTTTAATGATAAATCTTATAAGCTAAATATCATAAGCTTATTAATATATGGTGATATATTATAATAGATTTTTGAAAAAAATAAAGAATTAATTAGGAAGAAATTCCTTCTGTTATTAAATATCTTAAATAAAAATTTATTTGTTCATCTCGATACTTCCATTTTTATTTGATTAATAATTATTTTTCTAGTGTCCGCTTCCAGACTTCAATGGCTTCCAATACTAGTGACGCGGCTGGAAGCAACTAACTACGTATATGAAATGTCGTTTTTGTGATTCTTGAATTCCTATTAAATGTAATTACACGAATAACAATACTTTTAATGATAATTTTTTTCCATACAATATGGTTACATTTTACCATTTTGGTGAGGGAAGAAGCTTCAGTCCGAAATTCTCCTCCCATCCCCATAGATCAATTAAAAGAAAATTAAATTGGTTTAGACTCAACTTTAGTCTATTACTTTATATTTTATATTTATAATTATTTTTTAAATTATTTATACTTATTTTCTTTTGTGTGAATGAACACTGAAATCACTAATACGTATTGCTCTTCAATGTGGCAAATTGTATTATAATTCAATAAACATGTTTAAACAAAAAAAAAAATCATTTATCATTTTATTTTATTTTTTCTTATTTATTTATTTTTCAAATTCTCTTATTTTGTGTTCCATTGAGGTTTTTTTTTCTTTATAAACTTTCCTTGAATATTGTCTAAAGCTACTATAATTAAAACATGGTAATCTGCTAATTTCCGCCAACAGAAAAAAAATAGTATATATATATATGTATACACGCACATATATATATTTTACAGAGGAAGGAGATGGTCCAGGGTTGCGGTCATAAATAGGCTAAATAGTTTTACCACTATTTAGCCTATTTATGACCGCAACCCAGGACCATCTCCTTCCTTTATGATGCAACGGTCAACTATTAAATATTCAATATATATTTTATGTATTTCGATCCTATTATCGTTAATATATTACAACTTTTTGGCCCGTGCAAATAATCGCATAGTAAGTATATCGGTTAGAGAAGAAATGACAATATAATATGGAAATAAGTAAACACTATAATAATCATCAGAGGCAGGAATTATTATTCTTTTTCAAAGTGACTGGCCTAAACATGTGTACAATTGGCTGTATCTTCACTAAATTGGGTCCGCTTTCTATGACTTCTTATTTCGGTAAATATTGAATTTGTTAATTATAAGGATACTATAACAAACCGGAAAAAATATATATAAGGTGTGTGTTTTAGACCACACGATAAAAAAGAAAACATCAACTATGCGGAATTAATAATATAAAATATAAATTATAAATAATAACTCATTATAAACAGCTGATCATTTTCTTCGATTACAGTATGCAGGTCCGATTTTTAGTTTCTGAGCTATTTTAATTCATATCTTCCATGAAACTCGTTATTATTTGGCTTTCGACACTGGTTTCTTCATTTACGCTTCTCTAACACGACGTAACGTTAAGATACAGTTATGAAAAATCACCCATTACAGAGCGGATGAAATGCTAAATAATTGCCTTACTAACAATATGAAGGTTCGATTTTAGTTTTTGAGATATTTTAATCCATATTCAAAAACACTTTGTAATTAGTCGACTGCAGCCTAATTTACCCGAGCGTTACACATTGGAAATCTGATGGCTCAATCTAATTCACTCTCTACAAAAAAGTAAAAAACAAATATCCAAAGGTGGCGTAATGAACTCAGAAATATTCTTCTTCTTTTGCCTTTTATATGTGTGTGTGTGTGTGTGTGTGTGTGTGTGTGTATTTTAGTTAGTCTTAGACTATAACAAATGGTAAAACCTAATTTTTAAGAACCAAAACAAGACACGGAAAGTATACTATGACAACCTTGGCACCTAGGTCTGACTGAATGCTTTCGGAATGAATTACCATTTATATCAAAATCATTAATTTTTTATTTGTTTGTAATGGAAAACTTGGTTATGTTCTGAGGGATTGAAGCCTTCCTCGAAATCTTTAAAACGCAATTATTTCCATTCCCATATCTTAATAGCTACCAACGTCACAGTTTTCAAACCTTCTTTTTTTATTTTCAATAACTTTCATTGAAGTTGGAATACGAATTTAAGGATAGAAATTGAGATTCGTTACTTCGTGAAATTCTCTTTCATTTGATACCTCATTTATCAAAATTCACATCTTCTGAGACCCGGAAAAGGGATTAACACTACAGCATTATATAGTGTAGATTTTTAGGGAAGGAGATGGTCCGGGATGGCGGTCATAAATAGACTAAATAGTGACAAAACTATTTTATTAAAAGCCAACGTTTCTAGATTTTTGCCAACGTTGTAGATTTTTAGATTTGATTATTGAAAGGTGAGAGGGGAAGGAGGAGAGTGAATAAATACGTAGAGAGAAGTGAAGTAAAAAAATTTTTAGAAACTTTCATATATGCAAATAATAACTCATGTTGTTTGTAATTTTACTGTTTATCTTAGATTATACATTGAATAAGAGAGATTAGAGTAACTTCATTTTAAAATTTATTCATTTACGTTGTTTTAAACT